CAATGCCCACCCAGTCCCCGAGCAGCGGCCCCCCTGGCCAGCTTTCCCCCTGTTTATATACTGAGCATGACATCACATGGTATGGAATGTCCCTTTGGCCAGTTTGGGTCAGCTGTCCCGGCTGTGCCCCCTCCCAGCTTCTTGTGCACCTCCAGCCTTCTCAGTCGGTAGAGCATGGGAAGCTGAAAAGTCCTTGACTAGTGTAAGCACCACTTGGCAACAACTAAAACATCGGTGCGTTATCAACTTTGTTCTCCTGAATCCAAAACACAGCACTGTACCAGCTACTAGGAAGAAAATTAACTCTAACCCAGCCAAAACCAGGACACTGGCTTGCATTGACAATCAAAAATAGTTTACTGCTCCATCCATGACACATTGTCAAAGCTACATTAGCAATCAAAATTTTTGGTACATATTAACAGAAAAAAAAAATCTCAAGTCTTGCTCTTTCAAACACGAATTGATGTGACAGCTCACTATTACAGGAGTTTAGATCTAATTTTCTTCCTCATGACATTGCCTTTATCTCCTACCTCCTTGCATCAGCTATGACAGCTGGCAGTTGCTTTGCTGAGCCTTATTTACCTCAGTGGAATGATACAAAACATGGTGCACTGCTGCCTACATGCAGCCTACTGAGGGATCTGCCAGCACCAGCTAAAGGCAGAGGGTAGGAACACGTAGCCGAGAGCAGGGAGAAGCAGCTTCCTCTTTGGATGGTGGTGAGCTGTTACACTGCCTCCCTTATTTCATGAAACTGAAGTTTCCAGCACTTAACAGGATTGCTTGGTGTTGTGGTTAAGATCTTTTCACGGCTGTTTCCCCAGTGTTAGGTCTTAACAATAATGTAGCAACAGAGTGAGGCAGCTCAGCTGGGCTGATGGGGGCCAGAGGTTTCCACCAGGTCACTGAGCTGAACCAGTTCAGGTAGTAAGTTGGTGGATATGTGGGGAAGGAGGCAGGGAACAGAAAGCAAGCAGAACTATTCTTCATTGACATATCACTCAAGAAATTTAGAAGCCTACTCCTGCTAAATTATGTTGCACCATGCCTTTTGCTAGTTGTGAGAATCACCAAGATGTATCTAAGATGAACAAAAAGGAGAGCCAGAACAGAATCACTTCTGACTTCAGTATTTTCAGACTTACTCATTTTTGATGTCCACAGTCTGCATATGACAACATAATCTAAATTTCTAAGTCATTATAGAAGAATGGGCTCAGAAAAGGGACAAAACCAATGGTTTTATTAAAACCAGAAGTACCCAGTGCTTTCAGCTCTTACATTTTGCCAATAAGCAATTCGTACATACAGAAAGCTAACGAACAGTCTCAAGTGTTTACTCTTAAATAATTTTACAACTGATGGCAGACATAAACAGTTTTAATTCCAAAAGATGTAAACATTTGCTCATGCAAATCAAGTTTTAACACACTATGGCTTCTTACATTCGTCTCTTGCAACATTATCAGCATCCAAAACCTGCTTCTGCACCACCTAGTTAACACTATTCTATTGCTCTAAAAATAAGTTAAAACCATCCTTTCATATTAAGATAAAACATTTTACTGCTCACAACTGAAAATACTCGATACCTATGTATTGCAGAACACATTGCTAGATGAAGTTTTAAGACTTTACTTCTTGAATAAACTGCACATTTATTTTCCATGCGTTCTAACAGTTGTCCAGTGTGTCATGTCAAAATATAATTCATTTACCTACTCAACAAGGAAAATATGCTCCCAATTTACTCCAATAGAAATAAAAACTATTGCCTTGAAGTAGAGCTGGTGTAAGGTCCAACTTAAATATCAAAGTAGTGCTACAATACAGTTAAAACTAAGAAGTAAATAAATTTAACTACCAATACTCAGCATCAAGACATTTTCCTTCACATGTCTGTTAGTTTTGTTTTTAATGTTTGAGAATTCTTTTTAAAAAACTTTGTACTTAGTCTAAATACTGCAAAAATTGTTTTGGGAGATGCAGCATGTTTTTAGAAGCTGAGATAATCAAATATGAGATCTAACACAAACATTTGTAAAAACAGGTTATTTTTGTTTTAGAAGTCAACTTCATTTGGATGAACTGACTAGCATTTACAAAAGTTTCAGTAAATGAAGAAAACCTCAATGTAAAACAAGTTATTTGTACAAGTCCATGACTGGTACAGTTAAAAAAATAAATCAAAAAATACAAATAATTAGAGCTAAAAAAAAAAATCATACAAATTTAGATTTTCCAAGGACTAACCGAGTTACAATAAGCCCATTTAGCCATCATATTTGATCTTATAAGTCTACTGGTTTTGCAGTTGGTAGCAGTTTCACTTTAGATATTGGATTCTTTGGAGAGCCTCTATAGCGAACTCTTTCTTTTCCTGGAGCACTTCTTCTGATTGTAGATTTTTCTGGGGCGGCACCTGGAATATTTATATTTGTGTTAACTCTTAAACTGGATTTCACTGTTTCATGATTGGTTAGATCTTCTAGAACAGTCTTTGATGGATGAACAGTCACTTTCTGTTCATGGATTCCAGCAGTTCTGACAGAAACATCAGGCTTGTCTGATGGATTTAACGGCCTGCAACATGATTTGGATGTTAAGTCTAGCTGCTTATGAGATACAGAAACTTGGTCATACATACTTTCACGCTTGAGTGGCAAAGCCACAGAATTCTTCGAGGGCTTTTCTGTGCAGGAGAACAGCGCAGAATCATAGCTCAAAGATTTAACAAGTGGTGAACCAACATCACTTGCTTTAAGCAGCTGAGAGCTTACAGATCGTCTGTTAGCCTCCAATAAGGAATTCATTCTTCTTACAGACTGTCTAACAGGAGTACGCTGAAACTTAAGAGGTGGTTTAGTTTTGCTTGCAGAACTTGGATCATTTAATGAAAGCTTGTTGAACCATAGTATGTGGTCAGAAACCTTTCCACGGTCAGAAACAGTTGATGTTTTAGTTAAAGTTTTATCAGAATTTTCAGCTTGCAAGTATTGGTTGCCTACTTCATTTTGTGATTTAGGCAACTGCGAAGTAGGAAGCTGTCCTGCCACAGAAAGTTTAGCGGCATCTTCTTCCAAATTACAGCATTTTACCGTACAGTTTTCAGCTGTGTGTGAGTGCTTTAATTCTATTCCCTCTTTTCTTCCGAAGGAATCTAATTTGTTTAAGTCGTCTTTTGATGAACTGTTCTGAACAGTCAACTTGTCTTCCCTGGCCAGTACTTGAGGCACAGGAAGTTCTGTTACATTTTTTATATCTGGTTTCGGGACCTGAAGTTCAATCTCAATAGAAGTTTTGAAGTTTCTTTTCTCCATAACTTTAATTTCATCATTTTTTGATTGCTGATTATCAATAGCATAAGATTGATTAAATTGGTGCAACAGCTCTCCGGATTTTGTATTTGCTAGATTTTCCGAAACTTCTTGAGCTAACAATTCTTTCTCCAGACTGAGCCCTGTGAGACACAGAGTTTCATTTAATGTTTCTCCTGCTACATCTGAGAAGGAAGATTTTGTATCACCTATCAAATTGTGACGATTACTTCCAGATGCAGAAAAGGCTTGTTTAACTTTCAGTAATGTTTCTGCTGTTGAAGTACTTTCATCTTCACAAAGAAAAAGTTCTAAGCTGTTGTCTTGTTTGCTTACAGTTGTGGATTTGAACTCATCTGGAACAACTGGTGGCTTTCCAAATACCAAAACAGATTCTGAAGAACTGATTCCTGTTTCAGGGTGTCCTGGTAGAATTCCCTCATTCCTGCTGATCGCCTGAGAATCTGTAACAGTAGGACTATTCCATGACATTCGGTGAACTACTTTATCGTGACATTTTGGAGTTAGAAAGTTTTCTTCTGACTTGCTCACATTCTTTGAACCTTAAAATAAATATCACAGTGTTTAAGAATATCATCTTGCGATTTTAATGGTCATTATAGGCAAAATTCTTGCTAAGACACCCCAATTATCAAAGCAGCACTGAATTTAAAGATGCCATTACTCCCTTAAGTTTCAGAGATGTGAAAAAAAAGTCGTAATATTAAGAACTGAAATCACGTATCTCATCCTGCTAAAAATGAGATAACTAACAAAAGAGAACTACTAAAATACACTAAAAACACAACAAGCCTGTCCTAAACTGATTCTTTTTCCCCAGGAGCCACTAACATTCAAGTAACTTTTGTCCTACTAGCTAGAAGCACTTTTAATCCAATTGCTTTTATACCTTTATCCATAAAGTTACTTTTGCTTTACAAAAGCGAAAGTTTTCCCAAAATGAGATAACTAACAAAAGAGAACTACTAAAATACACTAAAAACACAACAAGCCTGTCCTAAACTGATTCTTTTTCCCCAGGAGCCACTAACATTCAAGTAACTTTTGTCCTACTAGCTAGAAGCACTTTTAATCCAATTGCTTTTATACCTTTATCCATAAAGTTACTTTTGCTTTACAAAAGCGAAAGTTTTCCCATGTAATATATTCTGGATACTTACCTTTCTTAAGGAATTTTTCATTGACACATGGGCTGAAGAGTACATCTCTTTTTGCACATTCAGTTCTGCTTTCCAAACCTTGTTGACTTGCAAGACGCCTTCCAATGTTTTCAGATCTATTACCCACTGCACATCCTGATACAATATTCTTGAACAAACAAAAGATGTTAATTACTTTCATATAAAAAGTAATGGAATCCCATTTACAGAGGAACCTCCAGGAAAAGGCTATGCAAATCAGCCACAGCAGCCTTTTCTTGGCCATAATTAATCTTCCCTCGATTCTCTGTAGACCTAGGTAGGGAACAACCCACCTGCAGTAAGATAGGCTTAACCACACCCTGAACATAGTGATTCTGTGCATAAGCTCTGTAATATCAGAATTTCAGGAACTGTGAGACCTACTGATCACAAGTGTGGTGGGTTAACCCCAGCTGGCAAGTAAGCTCCCATCCAGCCGCTTGCTCACTCCCCCAACTCCCCAGCAGGATGAGGGAGAGAACTGGAAAGGCAAAAGGAGCTGCTTGCTCACTCCCCCGAAAAAAAAAATCCCCAAACCCACAAGTGATGCAAAAGCAATCACTCACGACAAGTAGACTGATGCCCAGCCAGCCCCTGAGCAGTGGCTGCTTTGCAAAAACTTCCCCCATCCCAGTTTTATTGGTGAGCATGACATTACATGGCATGGAATAGTTCCTTGGTCAATTCAGGTCAGCTGTCCCCTGCCCCAGCCTCTTGCCCCATCCCAGCCAAACCCAGTACAAGCTGATCGGTTACTGCTATGAAAATAAACCTAGGCCTTCTTGTACTTGATAGCAGGTCCAGTTATGCTGTGATCCCTCCATTACCAAATAAGTCCTTCCTGCTACTGAAAAGCAGTGCCCAAAACTTAGGATCGAAATTTGCACGGTAACAAGAAGACTGGGTTAGAAGCAGAATACTTACCATTTCTCTGTTGCTTTTCCCCAAACCAAACTTCAAACGTAATGACCTACGAACCATTTCTTTTCGGCTAATCTTTGGAGAAAAACAACCTGTCTTTCCTGATTCAGCCCTGGGAGGACAGAGGGGAAGAAGTGACATGCAAAAAACTCTTTAGGAGGTCAATGAAAACATCCTGACACTTATTTATGGTTATTTCCTCTAGTTTTACTTCTTCTATTGCCTTCTTGACAAGCTTTTATAATAGGCACAGGAGGCTACTATACCAGATCTTATTTTGTTTTGAGCTCCATTTTGCCACATTGGAAGATCTGGTGATTTTAAGATTACTATAAAAATTTGGTATGTTTTGAACACCAAAAAAGATCATTTTAAAGACAGATTGAAATTTTACACATCGTTAGTTAAGGGGTCTTGACTTTCCAATTTATCTTCAGTTTCTGAGAGCTAAGGCAAATTACCTGTATAATTTTTTGCTTGCGTGTCTTTTACTTCTTCTGTTCCCTGTACTAGACAGGTGATTTTCTCCACCAGTTGAAGGAGACAGTGAGGTTTGTGATGACTCAAGAGACACACAAGGGCTTGCGTCAAACTGAACTACAGGAACAAAACATATTTACATGATCTTAAAATAGTCACATTTTTTCAGATAAAGAGTTAACAGTTAATACAGTGAAGAATAGGTTTTTAAACAGCACAGATTTGTGTGTTTATTTTGTGGAGTGCTGGCTTGAAATTACTTTGACTTCTACTTTTATTTAATATTAAATGAAGCTGTTGCTTGTAGCATCCATAGAAGCAGCTGGATTGCAATTAATTGCGTGCTACTGATATCACTACCTCAGTTAAGTTTCCACACTGCTATCATCAGATCAGTTCCTCAAATTATGAGCTTAATAAGAAAAATTAGATTCAATCTTAATATTATTTGCAGTATGCTTTTTTACATACCTAGCCAGAACAGTTAAAGCAACAATAAATGAGAGAGTTGCTATTCTACTGAACTTTTTTATCACACAGATGCATTACTATCTTTAGAGAATGTAATTGCTTTGGTTTGCTTATCCATAGAAACAAGAATTTCATGGTGAGCATGAAATGACTTAATAAACAAAAGCAAGAAGTTTTATACCACTCAACTGCAGAAAAAAATTGATCTTCAGGCAAAACAAACATAGCCACTCTAGCAATTTCTTTTTCCTCTAACTTCAGTTGGCAGCACATTAAGGAACCAAACAAAAATAAAATAGGATTTGCAGAAGAGCCTGACAGCTGGAAGCACTCTAGTGGAATGAAGTAGTATTAAAGAATTATCAAACAAAAGTAAAACTTTTTCTATAGAATTTTGAGAATATTTAGCATCTAGAGAAAATAAGAGGTGATTGGATTCAAGAAAGAACCTTTATAATAGCAACAATTACATTTCACATAGAGCTAAGACCGGCTATTTAAATATTTAGGAGACGGAAGAAGGCTACAACTTTCAAAAGGTTGGAAGCATAGGCAGTCTTCATGGATTTGTGTGTTAAGACAGAAACGTGAGTATAACCTAGGTGATACACAGGGACTGAAAAAGATAAAAGGACATCAGGGTTGCAGATTTGAGGGATTAATATAACAGAAAACAAGAAAGAGAATTTTGCTTTTGCTCAATCCATGTACCATGACAGTCACTGATGAACATGAACATAAACATAGACTATTTATTAAGACAGGAAAGTAGTGCAAGGAACACTGTTAAGTGAAGATTATCAATGACTGCCTAACAAGAACAAAAGACTGTACATTTAAATTAAAAGCCATCAACAACCACTACAAGCAGCAAGGAAAAATGAAGGCACTGTACCTGACGCTGGTGTTGAGCTGCTGTTAAAAATGCTACTTGGTAACAACTCAAAAGCAAAACTATGCTTAAAAGATCGTCTTTTCTTGCTGGACATGCCCTGAGAGCAATCAGTTGGAAGTTTACGCTTGGTGCTTGGAGTAAGAACCACCGGAGTCACTGATGAAAGGACTGAAATTAAGAAAACCAAATCTGCAATAACAGCTTAAATTGTCGAGAGTTTACTAAAATATAAACAGTTGTTTGTTTTTTTTTTTTAAACTCAAAGAAAATTGTTGTAAAAGCTTAGCCAACGTGCATGCGTTTTGAACAGGCAAAGCAATCGGTATAGCTTAGGGTTTGTTTTTTTATTTTGCTGTTTTTTTCGCAAGTTAGAGTACCAGAAAGGAAAATCCAAAACCACACATTAATAAAATAATATAGGTATTAGGAGGGGGGGAGGAAAAAAGTATAGTAATCTTCTGTAAGAGACAGAGTAAGAGTGAAAGAATTTCAGTCCTGGCAAATTCATTCCCAAGATGATAAAATGCTGCACTACTGCACCGAAGCCTTAGTGTGCATTAGATAAAAAGCACAAGTTCAGTTGTGTAATCCTAGAACCGCACAGCCCGCTGCTGCAGTGATTGTAGCTGCTCCAAGAACTACAGTAAATGCAGTATCCTCAATAAATATGTATCTATATTCAAAGTTTTAAACAATTTAGATGTAATCACGTATCTTCAACTAAGTTCTAGTTCTTCAGTTAAAAAAATTTGTGGAATATAGTTGACAAATCCAGAAGATACTGCATGGGCTTTATTTAGTACAAATACACCAATACCTACCGCTTCTGCCTTGTTGAGGTGTAGTGGAGGGTGTTCTGTTAGATTTAAATTTATTCAATGCTCCACTAACAATATCTGAAACGCAAGACACACCGAGCAATCAAATTTAAATATGAAGTTTGTCTTGCTCTATTTTCAACTCATTTAGCTTGTACTCTTTCAGAGAGAAATAAAGCAAATCATTTTAAATGGGTGGTTGATGTAAAGAAAACTATAGTCCAGATCTTCTCACCAGAATAGTTTTTGTTGCTTTCACAATAGCTGAAAAATTCTATTTTCCTTAAAAAAACCAAAAAAGATTCATGCACAGACAACAGAAGTTTCTTGTAGAAAATTCTACTGGTCATTATAAAATCATAGGCCTTCTGATTTCTTGTAGGCAAACCTGGAAGGCTTCCACTGAAGTCTCTCTCACAGAAAGTCTCATAGACTTTCTCACTTTACTGGACAGTCATCTTTGAAGCTGAAAAGCTCTTAGAACTTTGAAGTCAGGCCCAAATAGAAGTATGAAATTTTGGTCTTGTGAAGAAATAACGTACAACTTTTCTGTGAACTACATGTTTTTGTTTTGGGGTGGGTTTTTTTGGTTTGTTTTTCTTTTTTTTTTAAGGCAAAATTAAACCCAGCAGAGTAAATGCATGAAATTTTACTGCTTTTCCCACTTTTAAAAGTGTAAAATGGAAGTATTTTTATTAAGTTCTATTGCAACCTACAGTTGTATTTCCACGTGTTCATAGCAAAGCTTAGCAAACTATAAGCCTGCGGTACTTCTTTTATGGTGTCTGGTAGATATCAGGTAGTTTTTAAAAACTCATCTTTAAAAATAGATAAAGTGTAGTAATACTATGTTTTACTACGTCTGGAGAAAGAGTAGAAGCTGCCTACTACCAGAACCTATTCTATTGCAACCTACAGTTGTATTTCCACGTGTTCATAGCAAAGCTTAGCAAACTATAAGCCTGCGGTACTTCTTTTATGGTGTCTGGTAGATATCAGGTAGTTTTTAAAAACTCATCTTTAAAAATAGATAAAGTGTAGTAATACTATGTTTTACTACGTCTGGAGAAAGAGTAGAAGCTGCCTACTACCAGAACCTATTCCACAGAATTAACAAAATCTAACTGCTTCTCCTCAAAACGTTAACATTCACAAACATCTATCACCTTGCAACTCCAGGATGATCTCCCTTCTTCAGAGTGGTAAAGTATATTACACAAAAACCCCATGCCTTGGCTAAACATACACAATAATAAAGCCTTAATATCAATTGCTGTCAGGATTAATATTCCAGGTACATGAGCTAAATACATACTCATATTTTTATAGCAATACATACAAGATCAGTGTTATAGTGGATTTGAATCAAGTCAAGCATACGTATTCCATAGTATTTCCTCAAAGAGAATGCAGAACAGAGAATATACCATTTGATTGTCCATATTTGGCAAAAAACTCACCCCTATTGAATAGCTAAATTGCAAAAAAAAAAAACCCCCAAAACCAACCCAACAGAACCATGATATCAGAGCACACAGTATCCAATAATATCCAATTCAGAGTTATATTTCGAGACACAAATTAGTTTCTCTAATTCAAAACATACATGCCATTTATATCCTTGCCTTCTCATGACCTAACTTATCAAAGTATGCAATATCTTTGAGTGTCCAAGTGTAATTTCAAAACTAGCAAAAAAAAAAAATCTTCACTTTATCAGTGTTCTGCAACAGGATCTGAAGTTGACTCAGGAAAAAGCTGGAACGTTATTCTGGCTTCACAAATCCAAACATAAGCAAAACAGCTTCTCTGGTAGACAACAGACACAATAGAATAAACTCAGAGTAGATATACAATAAAGTGATGTGATTACTGAAGTCTTATATAGATTTTGCAAATCAAACCCAACAAATTTCACAGGCATCTATTCTGCTTGTGGAAGAAGCAAGTGCTTAGGATCAGCATACCTGAAGTCTCAAAATAATTCTATTTTAGTTGCTAAAACTTTCACACAACATACCTACCTCCAACACTTCGGTGCCTCCTCTTCTTACATTCACTGGGAGATTCATTTTCACTGTCTTCGTGGCCCCACAGTGAGGGAGTAGATTGAAAGGCATCAACACCTAACATTGCAGGAATCTTTTCCAAGATAAATTCTGGTACTTGTCCTGAATTAGTTGAGAAATTTTTTTTTTTGACGTTACTTAAAAAGTTGAAAAGAAAAGCTGTATACAGGTATGTGCAACAAGACATTTTGAACATTTATCATCTTACCTATTTCTGCTGCATGGTCAATAAGTGTTTGCACAACAGCAGCTTGCAAGCGAATTTTTTTTTCTGTACTGGCTGACATCTTTTCATTTTCATTCGAGTGCAAGAGGTTGGGTGCAAAAATCACTGCCAGGTTACTGCTATCCATTCTGTTTTCCTTGGATCTTAACAAGAAAAGTTTTTTTTTTTTTTTTACACAAATTATCAGGACTTAAGCAGTAGAGAGAGAAAAGACCAAATAAGACAAATGTAGTTGAAAAAAAACCCCCCAACCAACGGAGTAATTCGCTTGAGTGCTCACATACAGAGATTAATGTGTAGACTTAAGCACCCCAGGCTAGGTAATCACATGACTACGTCATTGAAATCAAGAGGTTACAGACCCTAGTTAGTTTTGGGGAATGCCAGGTATCAGTTAGATTATGTTAACTTTATCAGTCACTTCTTTTGCTTTCCAAAGAAGCATGAGGAATACAGCTATGAAAGAATGGAACAAAATTAAGTCTCCAGCAAAACAAGGTTTTATAAAGAAAACACTCTGGATTTATGAAAGAAAAGACCACGACTGAATTCTAGTGAATGACTGCAGATAAAGTTTAAAGTCACAAACCACTCACAAGCAAGTTACAGCAGTTGCCTGGAAAGAGAAGTTGTTAAAAAAATTGGGAGGTGTTTACAAGCAGTCTCTTTACACTGACCGTAGGGCCACAGTTCTCAGAAAGTTGAAAAAGTATCTCAAAGCTTCAATTGTTCTGTCGGCCATCAAACACGACAGCAACACAGTTGCAGTTTTCTTCTCATTTCCTAGCTGCTGAGCTTTGAAAAGGCCTTCCTGCAGGTGAGGTGGAAGGATGGGTTCTGGCAGCTCTCTAAAGAACTGTTTAAGAAGCCCTGCAACATCACATGGCAGCGCAGCTGAGAGGCAGTTTTCACCTTGATCCAGTTTACTCTGAAATTGTTCATAAGAAACATGATTTGAAGTCTTCAACATACTGTCAGATTTCTAAGTTTAGGCATTAATCCTCTAGCCTGTATCAGAAAAGACAGTCACATCTTCCCCATTTTTAGTTTCAGCCTTGTCATGTTTTACCTAACTTCAGTATCTAAAAAGAGACACAGACTATGTTGTCAGACCACGTGTTTGTTTACAGGTTTCCCATGTATGCATCCTTCTGGGAGAACACTGCTAAACAAATATCCTCACAGTATCCAGTGTGCATAACTGCTAACAAGTTTGTTTAGTCACAAGTGTATTCTCACCATCTGGAAAGCTGAAGAATTTCCCGGG